TTTTTTTTTTTCACGAGTTTGAGCCAAATTTCTTGAAATGAAAGCAATTTCATAGAGAATGACAAAGAGGAACAGCAGCTGAGGGCTGTCAGTGCACAAATACCATTATGGTAGCTAGTTTTAGTTACACAGATTGTGGGAAAGGGCAGCTCTTCTGGAAAGATTTTTAAACTTTTGTGATGAGGGCAGTGTGACTGAACTACAATGAGATCTGCATTTTCTTCCTGATATTCTGATATCCAAATTAAATTGAACTGTCCTTGGTCGTGTTCTGTGCCTTAGTATTATAATAGTTTAACAACATTCCTAGCAAATTTACTTTGTTAACCCAAATAAACCCAAACCCCTGAGAACATTTTGGGCTTGGTGGTTTGCTGAATCTGTGTTTTTATCAGAATGTTTATTTTGGTGCTTTGCCCATCTGCTAGACTGCTCTTAATACTTTTTAACTTCGTTGCTCATTTGTTACTGCTCTGCACATAAATCAATGATGGCATCGTATCATTTTGACTGTGACTTTTTCTAAATATATCTGGTCTATACGGGATAAGTTCAAGCCAGTGGGTGGAATCATGAATTCTTAAGAGAACCACCCAGAGAGATGTTTCTCAAGAAATAATGAAGCTAGCACAGGGTCGTACAAAAGTGCTTCACTGAATAGTGCTATCTCACAGGCCATTTCTTGATTTTTGTCTCAAGAGAACAAATCTTTTGTACGGCATAGCACTTGCTCTTCACATGAATTCACTCCATGAATAAAAGCATAAAAGCAGAACACCAAAAATGTGCATCTGGGGTTCAAAGGATAGTAGGGTGGACTTCCATATGGAGAGGCTAAGGATATGTAGGGCAATTTTTCAGAAGGGGAAAGAGCATATTGGAGATCTAGAGGTCCCACAGTGTCTACAATTGATTTCAAAATTGATTCTGCTTTGGCCAGAGATGCTTGCTATCTCCATTTACGTTTTGCTATCTCTTCCAAAAAAAAAAAAAAAAAAAAAAAAAAAAAAAACAAAAAAAAACTTTGGCAGGCTTTTGGTCTGTGACCTCTACCCATGACTCATTCCCAGCCTGAGTCTGCTAAACTGACAGCCTCTGCGTGTCAGCTATGCAGTGATATCTTGTGTTGGTGAGAAGATTATGTAGCATGGATAAGTTAGATGTAGCTGTGCTAGCTGCAGTGAAGAAAAAATGTAGGCTAGGCCATTAGTGCTGGCTCTGCCCTCTGTTTGTGGTCTTCCAAGCAGCGTTGTGTCAAGAAACATGGGAAAACTTGGAATTCTGTGTGCAGAAAATTGTCTTTTTTTCTTTTTCTTTTCTTTTTTCTCCTTAGTTGTTTATGGTTTGCAGGTTGAAATCAAATTGTTGTATTAAGCACAAAAGATATTTCCTAGCTCTAGAAATGTGAGTTTGGGATTGAGCCGTGACGTGGGTATGTGGAGTCTTTTCCTCATAGAAATAAAGCTGAGGACAGTGCTTTTAGTGCAGTTCAGCAAGAAAAACCTCCCACTAAGACAGCTGCTGGGCTGGGGGGTAGGGAAAGATGCCTAAGACTGACACTTCTGTCATTTCTCTTGGCTCTTTTTTGTTGGTGGTGTTTTGTTTTGTTTTGCTTTGTTGTTTGTAAAGACTCTTCTGGCATTTGTGAGAGATTCGATGTGACTGTCAGATCCCAGATGCACCCGGAGTACAAAAGGCAGACTGCAAGGCCTCAGGCCCATCATTTTCCAAAGATTTGAGGCTAAAAATTCATCTGTCTTCTGACCCTGCAGAAAGTTTAAATTTTGCTTTCTCCTCATGCTCTTCATACCTCAGCTTTCAAACCCACAGCCTGAACTTGCATATTTTGGGCACCCATGGTTTTTGTACTGTAAAGGGGCTTTGCAGAAGACCTGTCCCCTGCTTTCCTCCTTTCTGTGATCTCCCTGGCAGCCTCATATAGCCATGGTGCCTAATGGTCTCACCTGCTGTGTTCTGCTGTGTAGGCCTGAGTAAGGCTGGGACTCAGTCTGACCTCTGGAAAGGTCTGGAGGACAAGCTAGATGGTCAGAAATGTCCCCGAGGTGCTCTATGCACCAACTGCCCCATAACTTCAGAGCAGCCCGCTCTGCTGCTCAAAGCAGCTCCTAACCTACCTGAGTTCTTATGCTGTAGCCAAATCCAGAAGGCGCAAAGCTGACTTAGTCTACATCTATCTCCCTTCAGCCTCCCTGAAAATCTCTGGGAAGATGAGTGGAGTACAGCCATCTGCCTGAGATAAAATTTCTTCCTCTAACCTGATGTTCTTCTAAGCTTACTGTTCAATTATTCAAGATGAGGTGGGATACCCTAGATAAAACAAAATAATCATAATATAAAACATATGTAAATCAGGCTATAAGAACGTACTGAGTGTGTTCACCTTTGCCATCAGCTCTCTAAAGAAAAGAGGAAAAGCTTTTTTAAAAAAAAGGAGTTGTGTCTGAGGTGAGCATAAAATGCTTTCTATTACGAGCTCCGTAATAGAGGCATCAGAGAAGGGTAGGGCCTGAATAATCTGCAGCTTGGGTAAGTGTATGTACCTTTCGGATGATGTTCTATTTTTAAATTAGAAAGGAAGCATTCTTCATTGAAAATGAAGCTGGAACATTGCTTAACAATGAAGTGTGGGGCTGTTGAGGGATCTCCTTGGAAACTTGATAGTTGTCTTCACGGTACTGCCTGGTGAAGTGATCTTATGAATATACATTTTGCTACATCAGTATCACCAAAATCAAAATAACACAACTATGCTTTATTCCTAATTAGGAAAAATATTTTTGTGATATCTTGACTACATTTAGAACAAGGTATTTATAAATAGAGTTTGGATAAGTGTTGACTATATTTCTAGACATTGTTAAATGCTCACTGAAAATATACATACTCACGAAATAAAACATCTTTTTACATAGAAGAACTGTTTAAGATCTGTTTAAGAGCTCTGTAGATCCTTTTAAAGAAATTAGCTGCTTTTTTTTTTTTTTTTGAATATGCAAATACTGTTTGCATTTCAGAGAGGGATTCTGCAATTTTCTCCATGAAAATCAATTTCCTCTCAGTACATACAAGTTATCTATGAATCCCCTTTATCTCTTTAGCTGCTACCTCAAGTATTATCGGGGCATATGCTAATCTTATTATGAATTCACCTTTCTTTTGGAAATGAAGGGAGGACCAGAGGTTAAATGACAGATCTCTTTTTGAAATCCAGTGGAATATCCAGTATTTAACAGCAATGGAAATCATGAAAGGAGATATGTAGGTTTTAATTCAGACTTCAAAGGAATCAAAAGGGAAAAAAACAAAAGCATAACAAGGCATTTGGCAGCGCTGCATTGAGTGAATTTTTCAAAGTACAATTAAGTAAATTGCAAAATAAGTTATTGAGAGGAGCAAGGCTTGACATACACTTTCACATTGGCTGACCTGAATGGTTTCCATAACCATGTAGATTTTATGGAGGTAATTTTGAAATGCTTTATTTCCCTTTAGGAAGAGCACAAGCAATCTCAATTTTGAACTTAGGAAAAAAAAATAAAAAAATTGCATTATGGAGATTCAGCTGCAGGCTTAGAAGCCTACTGTTTGTTCTCACATGTGACATGATCACTGTAGTCATTCTTCTCTCCTCTTTCTCTGTTCAGCATTCAGATTGTCTCTTCAGTTTATGTTAAAAATTCAGTGCTTTTCTTCTGACATGCCTTCAAAATATTGTCAGCATTAGAGAAAATATTTGCAGAATGTAGCATCTTTATACTAAGTAAACAAATAATGAATTGCAATTCTGTAAAATTAGAACATTCATAAAAAAATACTCTATTAGCTACTGCAAGTGCTGTTCAGGGTATTACACAAAACATATTTAGGAGATAAGGAAAGATTATCCACTTGGCCTTATAAAGCACTGAGAGGACAGTATGTCATTGCTGTAAAATACTTGATAGGCAAAATATGATAAGCATTTTGTTCTTTAAATAGGCCACAAATTGAAATGAGTTTCTTGGTTTCATGGTGGCCCTTTTCTGATTTGTCCCATCCAAGACATTGCACAATCAGTAGGATTTGCTGTGAAAGGTAGACAAGCAGGGGAAGGTATGGACAGACAGGGTCAGCATGCTGGCAGGGCAGCAGGCTCCCAGGTACAGCAGACCAGGCTTCCCTGTGTGTGTCAGTTCAGTGATGTTCCACCCTCAGTTGCATAAATAGCTATACACATCCATACCATTTCAAAAAGTAATTAGAAGTCATTAAATCTTGGAAGAAATATCTTTTACTTTAGTTTACATGGCTAATTACTGTAATTTATAACAAACGTTAAATAAGCTAATCACACAATTAAATGCTGGTTCCTTTTACAATACTGGTATCCAGTGCTGTTTTGCTCTTGTTTTAATGGATGTGGCAGTGTAATCCTGCAGTGATACATCCAATCTGTTTTTTTCAGACAGCAGATTTTAACTCTGCAGTTAGACTGACATCAGCACAGCACAGCTCTGTGATACCTTCTTGGCCATCTGCCTCCATCTCCTTCAGAGCAAGTAATAAGCCAGAAACACATGAGAACTGGCAGTGATTAAAAAGACAGAACAACTGGAGAATAAGGTTTAATTGCTAGTGCTTCAGTTGTGCCAGGATAATACTATGAGCACTGACTCATCAAAATCAACTGATTTCTGACTACAGTGCTGTGTTTTTTGAGTATCAGGAGAAGAATATTTGAAAGGGTAGGCAAATGTGAAATTGCTCATAGCATTTAGGTACCATCCTGCCCTTCTATAGTGCTTTGATTTGCAGTCTGTAAGTATAATGGGACAGCATATTTCAGGCTACCACAGAAAACCTTTAGGATCTCTCTATTACACGATGCCCTGTGATTGTGCAGCCTGGAGCTGATGACTCAGGTGTAATGACTTCCAGTGTGAAATTGCTAATGAAGTGTTTTGCTGAATCACCTTCAACTCCATCCCCACTGAGTTTCCTACTGATGAAGTGTAATTAGTGCTGACTCACAGTAGTACATACAGCCTGTGAATTTCAGGCAGGATATAAGGTGAGAATGAAGCCTTTGCAAGTATGGGAATTTGGGAAGTGTGAGAGAAGACATTGTGTGAAGCCCAGGAATGGAGGTAAGCAAGGTGACAGAATTTCTGTTGCCTGATGTGACAATAAAATGAAGGGCCTATCTGAGAAAAATGCAAACTTTTTGCAGTGTTTTTAGAATAGGGTGGGAAATCCAGCTGTTTTGTCCAGGCATGAAAATCAAAAGTAGATCCTCCTACTCCAGAAGCAATCTGTGCATTGAAAATATATTTGCTAATTATCTTTGAAATACTCAGCTGGCCCACAAAATCATGGAAATGAGTGAAAAGTTTTAGGTCAGCCAAACCTTCACACCTCTATCCACTTCTTCCTACAGTAAATTAAAATCTGATTTTTAGTTCTGGCCTTTGCTGAATGAAAGGAGTAAAAATCCTATGAAAATAGAGAGGGATAAAAATGCATCTATTTCTCAGTTACATTTCCAAATCAGCAAAACTAGCCGGAGGTTTTCAGCACTCATCTCCCAATCAGTGGTCCATCTGTCAAACTGAGGAGTAAAATAGATGCTTAAGAGGAAGCAGATGCTGGCAGCACAACTATTTCAGCATCTCCTTAGAGCAGAGGAAAGTGTTTTGTGTATTTTTTTGTTTTTTTTTTTAACAGACCAGTCTGCAGCTGCAGCACAGCCCTCACTGACCCAGCCATCCCCTAACCCGTGTCTGGTGCTTGGCAGCCAGCGTGGGAAGTAAGGAACTCATGGCAAGCATTAAGGACCGGATGGTGGAAAGCATCCAGGGACTCCAGTCCACGTTCTTTTATTTGTCCCTTTTGTACTGCTTGCCAGTTTGGGAGGCCGTCACACACGTCCCCAATTTATTGAAGGATGGAGACACTTAATTTGAGCCATTATGTGAAGAGAAATCCACGCTGTCTGGGGAAACAATATTTCTGTAGGCTTATGGTGTTGAAAAGGAGTGCCTGTTGGAGAACAGCTTAGCAGAGATGCTTGAACATAATGGCCAGAGTCACTCCTGCAGGACTGGCAGTAGTTCAGGAGGAATCACCCTACAGCAGCAATATCAGACCAAGCCTATTGCATAGTCACAAAACCAGCAAGTTCACAGTAATATCAAAGATTAGTTGCATAAACTGAAAAGAATGCATTGCAAACACTTTTGTAGAGCTGTCTCTATAAAAGAGTACAAACAAACACACACAATGCTGCAGATGCTCCTATGCTGCTATGCACAAACTTGTGACTCAGAGCAGGAAAGGCAAGAAGCTGCTCTGACAAAAATTAAAACCTTGGATGAAAATATGGCCACTACTGTCTCAAGATTATTTTAAACCTGTGGCAAACATCTCTGTGGCACCAAAATCACAGTTTCCATGCTTGTGAATTACACTGATCTATTTATCAGAAGAGCAGTATAAAAACAAAGGGAAAATATTAGGAATTAATTCTGGTTTTCAGTCTTGCATGAAAGGTGGTAGCCCTTCTGTCTGAACAGATCTTTAAGCGTGTGATGGAAGAGTATTTTTGTAAGTATAGCTTTAATAACTGTGCCTTGAGGGTTTAAAAGAATACTCTGTAAACAAGAAGTAGAGAAACAGTAGAATGGTGTCTGAAAAACATCCCTCAGCCACTCCAGAAAGTGACTGCTGAAGCAGTTAATAATGTTCCATTCAGGATGGAGGAAATGCACTTCCCATTCTCTTCATAGTTTTTAAGTTTCTTAGCTTTGTGCACCTGGACCATCTAGTGAAAATCTTTTATTGGATTTTCTTTGACCAAACCACTTTGCTAAGAGCTGCAGTTATCATTCAAGCTATAATCCAGTCCTAGACAAAAACACTTACTGCTTGTCTCCTGAAACAACATTTCTGCAGGTTTCTGTGCCAGATAATGCAGGGCGATGAGTATCTAGCAGGCGTTGTATCCACACCCTCCCTGTCCTCCAGCCGTTCCAAGAAGCTCTTGGGGGGACATTGCCTCCTTCTGCTTGGGCTGCCAACGTGCCACAGTGGCTCTGAATCTAGCTCTGCTGCCTGCCCTGGGTGTCTGCTTGGAGCCAGTAGGAGCACAATGTGAGCTCTAATACTTGACCAGTAAGATGTGATTGCCTCTCCATTTCCCTCTCTCTCTCTGAATCATGACTGAAGTGTGGGGAGGAGAAATCCAGCACAGCCTCCACAGTCAGCTGCTTGAGGCTATGACTACACAGCACCTGAAAGTGCACTTGCCCAGAGTCTGTGGCATTTGTGTGACATTTTATATTTAAGAAGTAGCATATTTTTCACTGGTTAGAATAAAATGCAATGTTATTTATGTAACTGATCTTGAAAATAAGAGGATATAATATTTGATATTTGCGGTCCTCTGAAAATATCAAAATGCTATGTTTTCTCTAACAAAAAATTCTACCTAGTAATTCTAGCTAGAGCTTGACTAAGCTTGACAAGTTCTTTAAGCAAGTTGCTCATGGAGTTTGAAACAGAGGCTGAGTCTCCACTCATGGTCAGCAGAGACTGCAGCACCCCATCACTCTCTTCCAGCTGATTAGGCCCCACAGTTATCTAGAAACACCTTGCACCTGCATTGGTTCTCTCTTCTTCTAATAACACCTATGCTGCACTCAGCACAGCCCCAGAGGCTTCCTAAAATCTCTTGTCCACTAACGTTCAAGCTATCATAGAAAGCATGGGAATCAGGGGCCATGTTTCCTTGTCTGTTGTTGGTGGAGCAGATTGCTAACCAGCTGTGGTGGCCCCAGCCATCAGCTAGTGGTATCAGCCACATACTCCTTCTGCTTCCATTCTCTTCCTGGGAATTTAATTAAACTCCTCCTAAATTAATATCTTGACATCTCACAGCACCTGTAAAGAATCTCACAAGTGACTATTGCCCTGCCAGTCTCTTGACTTATATAAGAGAAGATGTAAATTGAGGATTTTTTCTAGAGGAAGTGTAAGTCTTTATTTACTTTCTTTCTTTTCTACAAAGAAACAGGAAAATGTTTTGAGGACATCTCTGAGATATCCAAAATTCATAAATATCCTTTTTTTTTTCTCTACTGTTTTCTTCAGCAATGCCTTGGACTTTTGTTTTCATATAAGCCAATGTAAAAATTTGGGCAACTAGTCCCGGTACCTCTAAGAAGCTGAAATAAGGCCTGTGAAAACTCCATTTTATTTTTCTCAGCAGAGGAGAGGTTTGATTTAGAGGAGAATGAATGTCATTCAGTTATTCAGCAAATAATTGTGTGCCATACAATCAAAATTTGCTAGTCCTATTTTCTCAGCTGCTGCTAATGCAGCACTCAGCAGTATCCCATCACTCCCAGGCCAACATAAGGCCTGCAGAAGATTGACTTCAACGATAACACCTGTTCCTTAAACATCATTTTCACCTCCTGCTGGTGGGATTATTGTTTGGTTTTTGTCCTTAAGACGTATGAGTTCTCCTAACTCTTTCTATCTCATTTTCTGAGAAGAGTATTTCCACCTGCGGAATGTACCTGTGTAGTGGGATTTTACACTGCCCTGGTGTCCTTCCTAAAGAAGATGACAATGGACCTCTGAAAGTCCAGCGATTTGGACATCAAGGTCCTTCCAGAAGACAACACCAGGTAGGAAACATTATAGCTTGGTATATCTTATAGCCTGATGGAAGAAAGAAACCATAGCAATAGGGATAATGGCTTGGAAATTAATGTTCTGTGTCTTCCCCATGCAGAGCAAAGGGTGAATGGTTTTGCTGGTGCAGCTGATGAGGTGGTAGTTACAGACAGGGGGCCACATTCTGGTCTTGACTCTGCACATTTGAGGGCAAAAAGGAGGGTAGGATCCTTCCAAAGGATTATGAAGTTGGGCAGAATATTTGACGAGCTCTTCTGTCACTCACCTTTGCTGAGCCTACATGGAGTGTTTGAAGGGTATCAATATCTGTTGTATGATTGTTAACTGAACACAAAACTACCTTTAGTTGTACCCATCCACTTCTGCAGCTCCTGTAAAACTACAGTGTGTAGTCATAGCATCTAATAGGTGGGGGGGGTAGGGATCAGTCAGTGCCTGTGGCTGTAAGGAATGGTGATGGGCTTGAGCTATTTTCCTGGGGCCAGTGGGTTCACTTGAGGGCTCAGAGTAAAGTTGAAGAGTCCTGTGCTGTAGCATAGTATCCTTGACCTGACCTGATGGATGCAGGGAGTTCTTGACATCACAATTTCCTGGACTTGACTTCATGGTTACCTGTAGCTGTGTCTGTGATTCAGGGAAGGGCTTGCCTATGTCCGGAGATATGCTGTGTGAACGTTTATGTTTTGTTCTACTTTCTCCGCAAGAGCGGGTAATTGTTGTATGGGTCACGTTGCCACCTAGTTGAAAGGACTGTGACACCAGTGTTGTGTTGTTGCAGTGCAAGGTGCAAAATGCTGCAAGGCTAACAGCATCTGAAATACTACGATAGCCTGAAACATGAAGAGATAGTAGGGGTGTTTCTCCATTAATCCATTTGAAGCAAACGTTAAGCTTTTCAAAGGTTGATATTCTTCCCCATTCATTTATTTTACGGCAAACTGTAGACCAACTTTGCTCTTGTAGACTTCTACTTTCTGGTTCAATATGTTTGTTTAAGTAAGTGCTCATTCATTCTGCTGAATCAGTTCTGGTTGCTAACTTCTTGTAACCATAACCTTCATGACAGTTACTCCTGTTATAAAGTCCAGACTTGAACTGTTGAGGAACCTTATTACGTTTTCCCCTACTCTCAAAGGAAGCTGAGGATGTAACGTGGGTACACGTTACATCCTAATAGTCTTCTCTACTTTCAGTATACTGCAATGCCTCCAGTGTCTTACAAAGCTATCAGGAACTGAGTTAAACCCCAGCACTGTGTTCAGAATATGCCTAAGCAGAATTAGCTGTGTTATATTTTCTACCTTACCGTTCAAAAGATGCACTCACTGAGATCAGCAGTGGGCCACCCACAGTGAACACTGCACAAGCAGAATTCAGTCCGCCTTTTTTGTATGTACTTTGTCCCTGAAACAGAAAATACCATTCTTTGTTCAGAAGATATGAAATCTACCCATCTTAGTGACTGGTCCAGAAAGGAGATAAACAGAGGCTGCAGAGTCAGAAGCAGTTTGTGACATAGGGAGAAGAAGCACAAAAATATGAATGTTTTTAATGGAGGGAATTACATGAATAAATTGTTCAGTGAACTGCATCACTGATTCAATCTGCCCAGCTGTCATACGCTCTAAGGACAGTCTGTCAAGCACTACAGAAATGATGCATATGTTCCCAGGCCTTGTTGTATGAGATGCATGAAGTCACTTGAGCAATGAAAAATGGGTACTGAGCTGTGCTATGTTTTCATTGGTGAAATTGAGGACCGTGCAGCCAGGCTTTCAACAGAGCTGGTTGAAAGTGTTATTTTTGCCCTAAGGACAATCCAAAGACCAGATAGGTACCTTTCCAAACAAGGATGAAAAGCTGAAATACCCATTTTTCATTAAGTGAAGAATTACATAGCCTAGAAGAGGGAAAGATGGTACTTCTTCTGAAGCACTTACAGACTATTGCAAAAAGACAGCAATAGTTTCTTCTTCTTGTCTATGCAAAATACAAGTAATTAGGAACCAATTTTAATTAGGCTAATACCTCAAGAGCCTCTTTTAAGGTAAGAAGAGGAAAGAATAAATAGAAAGATGTGGAGCCTTGTCTTGGTTTCAGTTAGAACAGAGTTAATTTTCTTCCTAGCAGCTGGTAGAATGCTATGTTTGGGCTTAGGATGAGAAGAGTACTGATAACACCCTGATGTTTTAATTGTTGCAGAGCAGTGCTTATACCAAGCCAAGGACGTCTCAGCTTCTTGCTCTGTCCTGCCAATGGGCAGGCTGGGGGTGCAGCAAGAGCTGGGAGGGGACAGACCCAGGACAGCCGACCCAAACTGGCCAAAGGGGTATTCCATACCATCTGACATCATGCTAAACAAAATATAGGGGTGGCTAGCCAGGGGAGGGGGCCGGACTGCTTGGGGTTAGGCTGGGCATCGGTTAGGAGGTGGTGAGCAATTGCATTGTGCATGACTTGTTTGTACACAGTAGTAGAAGTAGTACTGTTATCATCGTTGTTGTTGTTGTTATTTTCCTGTCTTAATAAACTGTCTTTATCTCAACTCACAGGCTTTACTTTCCTGTTTCTCTTCCCCATCCCAGAGAGGGAGGGGGGAGGGTGAGCGAATGGCTGTGTGGTGTTTAGCTGCCGGCCGGGTTAAACCACTACAAGCCTCCATCACTGAAGGACTGTAAGAGCAGACGAAGCAAATGCCAGTCAGGAATGGTTGCAGTATGGCTGATCCCTGAAACAGGAGGAGAGACATCTCAAGAGAGGATTTAGGGCAGTCTTACCTCGTTTTTATTTTGGCCTTACTGAAACCTTTCACTCTTTACCACATCGCATTTTAAAGCTTGTAAGTGTCTGAGAGGGATGGGAGTTGTTGCTTTGTATACATGTAATTACCATAAAATTTACCGTATTACCATTAATTTACCATATAAATTATGGTCATTTATTTAGATATAGATATAATTAAAGAAAAAGACATTCACTAATTGCCTGTGAAAATTATAATTATGTTCTCAGGAAATGCTGAGTTGCTGATCTTTGAGGGTGACAGGTCTTCATTAATGTGAAACACTGGCAAATTTCAATTTAATTTTCCATGGTAAGACTAGGCCAAGATTGACAAAAAGAAGTACTGTTATGAAGAACCTAACTTGAAACATTTATGTTCAAAGAATAAAATCTCTTAAATACTGTGCCACCCATATATTATAACTGAAAGTCAGGCACCTCAGATCTCCTTAACTAACGGAGGGAATCCATTCACCCTGTCACCTTAGTGGTGAAAATGTTAATCAGTGGTGCAGCTGGGAAAATGACTTCCTACAAGAACAAGATGATGCAATAGGGTTGCAAGCTCTTTTTCAGGGACTACACCTACTTTCTATCTTTAGGTTTTGCATACAGTGTCTCTCAAAGGGCATCATCCAAGATGCATGTTTGAATTCCTAGGCTAAGCCAATTTTCCAAGGATGACTTTGCTTTTCTCTGCTTCTGATAAACACATTTTTTAAAACTAATATATTTTAGTGAATACACCTTAATGTTGCTAACATGTTCCTGTAGGGCCTATTACCTTTCTGGTCAATGTAAGTGTTAGTGATATATATATGAGCTGTTTTAAAAGAGGAAGAAGTGAAACTGCACTGCTTTAGTACGGAATGGAGAAACAAGGAGATCTTTGCTCTCTTGCTTGAGGCAGGGCTTTGGAGCTGCTTTGCTTCTCTTTTGCAGCAAAGCATTGCCTCTCCATTGGACAAATATGATCTTGCAAGGTAACTTTGCAAAGCAGCAGACTTATTGCTAAACCTTGTTTAAAGGAAGTTTTTTTCTGGTGTTATAAGGTCATTTATGTCTCAGTCAAGAGAAGGACAAGTGTTTTCTGCTGAGATGGCTGGTCATGAAACTTGGCTGAAGGAGAAAAAAAAAATGCTGCTTTTCCTCATACTGGAAGGCTTTTGCTCCACCCAGTAACCTTGCATCTGTTTTGCTTCAGTGAAGTCTGACATTGAGACCAAGGAGCCTTTAAGCCACTCACTACAAATCCCTCTTGAGCTTACTTTTCTAGAGCTGGGAGCTGGTGGTGCAGCATATATCATGGCCCAAGTGCTCCTGCACATAAAGACACTTAGTTATTTACTAAGTACTATATTGCTTTTTCAGTAGTTTGAGGTTGGTAGACAGAGCTGGGGAAAGGAGAGTTCTGCATCCAGTGCAGGCTTTGCAGTGTAGAAGCTTGAAGTTCATTCCCTAGTTCAGAAGTGTTGTCAGAGCCTTGCTGCCTTCCATCGTTCTGAAATTGCTTTCCATAATTAAAACTAGATTTCTTGCTGGCATTGTGTGCAACAGATAGAACTAGACTGGATTTTGTCACTGAGTTTCCTTATTGTGTTGGGAAATCAATCCCATGTAAAGCATCTGGTGCGTGACCAGTGTTGGCTAGCCTGTCCTTGCTCTGTGCTAGGAGCAGCAGTGGTGTGCCAAACCCCTCTGTCCTCTGGGGACTTGGGGCCCAACACACTTTTCTCTCTTCTAAATAATTGCAAGGCAAGGTCCACACAGCAGTGTCAAAGGTGGACTGGCTCACAGGCAGACATGTTATTTTCCAGCACGTTTTTTAGTACTGATAGTGATTGATCTGGTTCCCAAGCACTAGCAGAGAAAAAAGGCAAAATGTCCCACTCCCCCAGATAGCAGCATAGCTGCAGGGACAGCACAGTGAGCTAAGTACCAGGCAAATGCAAGCCAGAAGACATCAAGTGCTGCTGTCTAGATGTATCTGTGCATGCATTGTATATGCTATAGTTCAGCAGTAAGCCTGGCCATCAGATTGAGCCAGACAGACTCACCCACAGCACAAAAGGATCCCGCATGGAATTTGCCAAACCAACGTATTAAATTTGGCGGGATGCAGTTGGTTGTTTTTAAATTACAGTTCATACAGTTAATACTATTGATGATATCTTATTTAGTGAAGATATCAGATTTCATCTTCAGG